GGGTGTGTAGGCCAAGTGCAGCGGCAGCTTGTCAGAATTGTAGAAGAAGTGTCTAGACACGTGTGTAGTCCAGGTGTGTGGACCAAGTGCAGGGACAGCCTGCCAGGGTTGTCGAGAAAGTGTCTAGAAAGGGTGTGGCCCAAGTGTGTAGCCCAAGTGCAGCGGCAGCGAACCACGCTTGTCGAGGACGTGTCTAGGACGTGTCTAGGCCAAGAGAGTAGGCCAAGTGCAGAGGCGGCTAAGCAGGGTTGTGGAAGAGGTGTCTCGGACGTGTCGAGGCCAAAGGTGTGTAGGCCAAGTGCAACAGCAGCATAGCAGGAGAGAGAGAGAGAGAGGGAGAGAGGGAGAGAGAGGGAGAGAGCGAGAGAGAGAGGCGAGGGCAGCGCCCACCCACCGCACTTGTAGACATCTCGGCTGTATCTCGGCTGCATCTCGGCTGCATCTCACCCGCCGCCCTTGCAGGCCCACTCACGGAGCGAGCCAGACAGGTGCGGCAGCAGCGCGGCAGCGAAGCCCGGCACCGCCTGCACGAGCCGCTTGAGCACGCGAGCTCCGTACGGGTGTGTCACCAGCGGGAGCCGCGAAAACTGCGCCGCCGCGCCGCCACCGCCCTTGCCGCCCTTGCCGCCCTTGGACGCCGCCTCGCCGCCCGCCTCGGCCGCGCCTCCCTCCTCCCCCTCCGCAGCCTCGCGAGTCGCGGCGGCAGCGAGAGCCGCCAGCGCGGGGGCGGCCGACGCCGCGTCGCGCTGCGCCGCCGCCGCGACCGCCTCGAAGAGCACGCCTCCGCCGTGCGGGGAGCGCGCCAACCGCTCGCCGCTGGCCTCGGCCAGGCGCAGCAGCGGCGGCAGCAGCGCCGACAGCAGCTCCTCGCGCCGCTGCGCCGGGTCCTTCTTCGAGGTGCCCGCCGCCGCGTCGCCGAGCGTGCGCAGCGCGTCGGGGGAGAAGTAGCGCGGCGCGCGCGGCGAGAGCACCGCGAGAAGTGGCGCGACTCCGAACTTGTGCGCCGCGATCCTACGCGGGTGAACACGCCGACATGACGGCGGGAGTGCGGTGTCGTGCAGAGCACTCAGAGCACCGTGAGAATACGAGGGGTAGAATACAGCGGAGTACGGCCGAATGCGGTTGAGTCCGTGTCCTCTCGAGCGCTACTTGGGAGTACAAGAACACGTCTTCCGCTTCTAGGGGCGGCGAGCTGCGGCAGCGCCGCGAGCAGCTCCGCCAGCACGGTCTTCTTAAGGAGGACCGTGTCGTCCACCGTCTCGAGCGCCGCGCAGAGCAGCAGCGAGCCTAGCAGCGAGACTCACTGGCTGATCACCACCGACCTCACAACCACTCGCCGACCCCGGAGCGAGCAGGGCAACGAGCGAGCCGTTTGCGTGCGTCGCCGCCGGCAGCACGTACCCCTTGAGCGCCTTGAGGACGGCCTTGCGCTCCTTTGGCGCGCCGAAGCGCAGGCAGGCGCAGGCGATGCGCGCCCCCTCCTTCTCGTGCATGATGTGCACCGCCGCACCGTGCAGCGTGCCGGCGAGCACCGCGCGCTGGCCTATCCGCGAACCAGCCGCCGGTCGATGAGGCGTGAGTCGTGGGCATGTCGCCGGCGAGCACCGCGCGCTGGCCGGTGTCGGAGTGCTCGAGGAGGTCGGCGAAGCCGCGCTGCACGGTGGACGAGAGTGGGCGAGATTAGGCGAGATTGGGCGAGAGTGGGCGAGATTAGGCGAGATTGGGCGAGAGATTGGGCGAGAGGGGGCGAGAGGGGGCGAGAGTGGGCGAGATTGGGCGAGAGATTGGGCGAGAGGGGGCGAGAGGGGGCGAGAGTGGGGCGAGATCCGGCGAGAGGGGGCGAGAGTGGACGAGAGTGGGCGAGAGTGGGCGAGAGTGGGCGAGAGTGGAGAGTGTGCGAGAGGGTGCGAGAGTGGGCGAGAGTGGGCGAGAGTGGGAGAGATTGTCAAGAGGGGGCGAGAGTGGGAGAGAGAGTGGGCGAGAGTGGGAGAGAGGGGGAGAGAGTGGGCGAGAGGGGGCGAGAGTGGGAGAGAGTGGGAGAGTTGCGCCGAGCCTACCTGTACGATCGAAGTGACGGCGAGGCCCTTGCGCGCCGCCTTGGAGAGAGTCGTCTCCATCTGGCGCAGGACGCGAGGCTTGACGGAAGGGTCCGCCGCAAACAAAGCGCCGAGCGAGTCGTGCTCTGCGCCGGTGCCTGGTGACTCAGGATCGGTGGTTAGTGACTGGCTGAGCAGAGCGAGCTGTGCTCTGCGCCGGTTGCCGAGAAGCGCAAAGTCCTTGCCCCAAAGCTCGCGGTAGAGGGAGGTGCGCTGCGACGGCGTCGCCGCGCTGGCATACGCGAGTTGCAGCACGGCGGACCTGTTCACACACCGCAGCTGTGAAGAGGCGCCGCCGCCCCGACCCTGCGCGCCACAGGAAGCTTCTCGGACCCTTCCGCGTGCGCCACCAGCTCCGGCACGCGGCCAGCGAGCTGAGAGACGACCGCCCGCTTGTGGCGCGGCGAGCCGTGCCGCAGCACGGCGAGCAGGAAGAAGTGGCCGTAGTGCGAGAGAGCGACGGCGCCTAACCCACCCACGAGGAACGGTGCGCTGCTGCAGGAAGAAGCGGCCGCTGGTGCGAGAGCGCGAACGGCGCGCCGATCGCACCCTGCACGCCCTCCATCAGCGCGTCGCGCTGGGCGTCGGTGCCGAGGCGGTAGCACGCCTGCGGCGCCAGTTGAAGGAGCGTGGGATCAGTGCGCCCCTTCATCAGAGGTGCCGGTGCAGCCGGCAGCACGCCTGCAGCACCCTCGCCGCGTCGTGCTTTTGCAGCACCGGCACGAGCACGCCTTTGGGGAGGAGGGAGTGGGGAGGAGGGAGTGGGGAGGAGGGAGGAGGGAGGAGGGAGGAGGGAGGAGGGAGTGGGGAGGAGGGAGTGGGGAGGAGGGAGGAGGGAGTGGGGAGGAGGGAGGAGGGAGGAGGGAGGAGGGCAGGAGGGAGGAGATAGCAACGAGGAGGGGGAGATAGCAACGAGGAGGGGGAGATAGCAACGAGGAGACAGCAGGGAGCAGGGAGCAGACAGCAGGGAGCAGAGAGCGAGAGCCTTCCAGCGCGGCCAGCACGCCGTCGATGAGCGCGTGCCGCTCCTCCACCGGCGTCTTCTCCTGCCGCAGCTTCTCCCACGCCTCCAGTGAGACACGCACCGCCTCGCCGTGAGAGCGCTGGCCAGCGCCGCCGCCGCCGCCGCCACCGCCGCCGCCGCCGCCGCCTCCTCCGCCGCGGCCGCCGCCGCCGTCCGCCGCCTTCGCGCCGCCGTCCTTGCCGGGCCGCTGCTTCGCCGCCTGCCGGTTCGCGCGTGCCAGCTCCGCGGCCGGGTCGGTGGTCCGCGGCGCCGGGCGCGCCTTCTTGGGTTTGCTCTTGCCCGTCTCTCCGTCGCCGGCCGCGTCGCTCTCCTTGCGCTTCTTCTTGTGGCCGAAGAGAGAGTTGTCCGCCACCTACCAGGGCACTGTCCACACTGAGCCGCGGGGAGCGGTCTGATGGCGGCGACGCGGGCAGGCGAGTGCCTCTGGCTCGTTCTCAGGGTTGTCGTTCTGCGAGAGCGCCCGCTTCTTGGCGGTCCAGTCGCGGCGTGCCTTGCGGTTGAAGGTTGATGGTGCCGTGCCAGCTGGCTTCGCCGGCTTGGAGCGCATTTGCGGGGGATGCTCGGGGCTGCTCGGCGCTGCTCGGCGCTGATTGGACGGCTCGGCGCCGCACGAGGGTAGCTGCTCGCTGAGCCTCGTAGCCACAAGCGGTGGGTTCTCGATATGGAGACGGTAGGGAGGTACCGTGTCGTCATCATCTGTCCAGCGTCCACCCATACCGCGTTGGTGTCCAGTCCGAGCCTGACTGTTCTTCACCTTCCTACATACACACTTCCCCCGCCCGTAAGCGAACCGCCGCCTAGCGTACGTTAGCGTCCCACCCTCGCCGCCTAAAGCCCCACCCAGTCGTGGAGCAGGGGGTATACGTGCGCAGACCCGCGGGACACACGGTGTGAAATAGCAGCGCAGCGCAACGCCAGCAGCTCTCAGCCGTTGCTGCTCTAGCACCCGCGAGGTCTCCCAGCCTACTCTGCCCCGCAGACCCAGAGACTGCCCTTCCGCGCGTTCGTGCTAGCTCCGGTCGCTCCTGCCCCGACAGAGCCGCCCATGTGACCCGTGGCGCCAAAGCCGGTGGTTGCGTCGGTGCCTTGCGTGCCTGCGCCGTTGTTGAAGAGGGCTCCGAATCGAATTTTGGCTTGCGATGTTCCACTGGGTTCTAGGTCAACCATGTTGATACCAACGGCATAGAAGCTGTACTCAGGGTTTGTCAGCTGGCACCCGGTGAGTGAACCTGTTGCCGCCTTGCACCAGTTTTCCTTCACAGCCGCATAGCCCTCGTCGAAGTCCTCATCGTTCGTCTGCTTCTGTTCGCAATCGAGGCACGTTTTGCCATTTGGGCACAAATCACTTGGGCACAGAGCGGTTCGGGTTCCACCGTTCCCGCGGGAGGGCGACCACGAAATCGGACAAGAATCCGTCCAACACACGATAATGCTCGAATGCTGAGCAACTTCGAACACGATGTTTCCCGGGCAGCAGGGAGAAATCTCGCTCGTGTGCCAGCCGTCAAGGCAGTTGTATTGGCCATTTGTTGGCATCCTAACGCCTGGACCAGGCGGGACCCACTGGCACAACGGCTCGGGTTCGTAAACTCTTTCCCATACCGCATCTTTGAAGATGGCCTGCAGGGATTTGTCGTTCCAGTCTTGAGGAATCTGATACTCCACACATCCAAACTCAAAGCAGCCGCGAATGCGGGAGGCGGGGAAGGCGACGAAAGGATGGAACTTGCCATCTGTGTTTGACGAGTTGCCTTCGCTAACGGTTTCTTCGCGTAGGAGGTTGCCATCGGTCCAGTATGGGCTGTCGTACGTGAACGTGGATGACGAAGCGACACGCATAGCCAGTGCGCAGCCGTCGCTGCAGTAGACGTCCTGGCCATCAATGGCTACGATGCCGTCGGCGCCGGGCGGGCAGGAGGGAGGGGGCGGCGGCGCGGGGGGTGGGGTCGCGACAGCGGGGGACGCGACAGCGGCGCCGGATGGAGGGGGGCAGGGCGCCTCGGAGAGGCGGCGGCGCTCGGCTTCGGTGGCGGGGTCGGCGACGCGATCGATCGATGACGCATCGAGCGTGGTTTTGCTGTCGGTGGATGTGGGCTCGCCCTTTGCCGCTCTGAACCTTGAAAAGGCAAACTCGGTCGCGTGCGCGCTCGACATCTCGTAGTCGGTCGCAGTCCCGTCAATGGCGCCCTCGGCCTGAGAGCTCGTTGTGTAACTTCCTGTCCACGGGTACAAGTCCTTCTTGCCATGCCGCACGAGCCCTGGCGTGGCATAGGACTGTCCGATGATGCCGTGCGGCCTGTCGCGAGATGGGTCGCCGCGCGCGGTGAAGCCCACGTCCAGGCGGTGCTCGGGTCCCGCGATAAGGCAGCCTTTGCACGAGCGCATGCCGTGCACTTTCACAATCCAGTTGCGGAATGCAAAGGTGGCGCTCGAGTAGTCCATCGACATTTCGAGGTCAAAGCACTTCTTGTGACCGTGGTTGCCAAACTTGTAGGGCCGGCCGACACAAGTTCCGTTGACGACCTTCCAGCCAAAGTTGGTCTCGTCGAGCTCTGACGCCCAGAATGACGCGGTGGCGAGCTTCTGCGGCGAGAGCTGCGCGCTTATGTGAGCCTCTGTGAGGAAGGAGCCGTTGACTGTCAGGGCTCCGCCATGCAGCTTGAAGACGGCCTCCTCCGTCTTGACGTTGACCGACAAGCCGGGTGCAGACAGGAAGTTGTAGAGCGCGTTTCGTTGGCCGCGGAGGTCGGCGGAGCCTCCATAAGCAAAGTTGATATGGGGGTCGCGGAAGACCCTCGCGCTGAGGTCGCAAGCTCCTGGATCCTCCGAGGCCAGGAGGCCCGAGCAGAATGGCAGCATTGTTCTCCTTTCGCCCTTTCGCCAAACCGCGCGCAGAGGGAAAAGAGCAGCCTCTTATCGATGCATCGATGCATGAGTTGTAATTGACCGCGAATTTTTGGCGATCTCCAGGATCTCCAGAGGGAGATCGCAAACCGAAAAAAAGGATACCCATCACTGAGCCGACGATGCTACGGGTAGCCCCAGGGTGGCGCCCACCCCCATACCCTCAATTGAGCACGCCCGGTCTCCCCAATTGAGCCACGGTGGGTTCTCGATATGGAGACGGGAGGGGGAGGGATACACGTCCGTGTCTTGTGAGCTTGTTGTGTCTGTGTGTCGCTCGAGCGTGTCGTCGTCATCTGTCTGTCTCGCGTCCACCCATATCGCGTTGGTGTCCAGTCCGAGCCTGACTGTTCTTCACCTTCCTACATACATACTTCCTGCTTCTTCTTGGTTTTCTAAAATCTCTCTCACACACACACGGAAACAAATTACAGGACCGTGTTCGACGTCGTCGAACAGTGTTCGACGTACGTCGAACGCAACTTCGGAATGGCCGTAGCTCCTCTCCACGAGCGATTCAGACGACCTAAAGTGTCGATTCTTAATTGCGAGGCGCAACCCTGGTTCGCAGCTGCGAGATGATAAAGTTGATGTCGAAAGTCGGCGGTCTTGAGCGTGAGACGCTTTGCTCCTGTGAGACGCTTTGCCGACATCCTTTCGGACCGACAGCTTCCCAAGGCCGCGTCCATCACCTCACCTGAGCACGCCTCTCTGCCTGCATTCCTAAATGCCGAGCCGCAAGACGCCTTCGAGGCAGTTGCCAGACGACCCGCCTCAGCAGCGCCGCCGCTCCTTCTTCCGTTCGCTCTTCTTCTTTGCTACTCGGTTCGATGCCTTCTTAATCGTCGCCGGCTGCGCCTTTATGGTCGGATTCGGAGCACTGCAGATTCTCGCCCTGGTGACGTTTGCCGACTTCTTCGACTTGAACTCGACCACAAACTACTACGACCTCGGGATCATGCTCCTCGTCAACATGACGTACTGGGGCCTGGGCATCGGCGGTTGCCAAGGCATCGCGGCGCTGCTGCTCGACTATTCCAAGAACCGTCAGATCACGCGTTGGAAGAAGGAGTACCTAAAGTCGATCCTCCGGCAGGACGTCGGCTGGTATGACGTCAACCAGCCGCAGGAGCTCTCGACGCGCATGGGCGAGTCCATCGTCCACATCGAGAAGGCGCTTCACCTGTCCAACGCCAACATCTTCACCACCATCGGGTCCATCACCGTGGGGCTCTACATCTCGCTGCGCGAGTCGTGGGCTGTCGCCCTCGTCACGCTCGCCGTGGCCATCGTCGCCTACCTGCCTTCCATCTCGCTGCTCCTCTACTACCTCGAGCAGCGCACCAAGCTCCTGGCCGACGCGTACGCAGGCGCCGGCGGCGTAGCCTCCGAGGTGCTCTCGTCGATCCGCACGGTCGCGTCGCTCGGCCTCGAGGAGAGGTCTCTGCAGCGGTACGACGCCAACCTCGCCAACGCCGAGCGCGCCGCCATCCGCCTCTCGACCAAGATCTTCGCCGCCCTCTCCACGATGAACGCGTCCTTCTACTACGTGATGGCTTCTGGGATTCTGCTGGCGTGCCAGCTGCTCGTCTCCGAGTACCGTGACACCACGGTGGACTACACCGACTTGCTGGGTGACACGAGGAACTACTGCGCCGAGAGCTGCGACTCGTACGACTTGTTCCTCGTCGACACCACCCAGCCAGATCAGGCTGACGGCGTTGGTGCCGCGTGCGCACTCCGCACGAGCGCGACTACTGGCGAGGCCCTCGAGAACTTCAAGTTCACTTGCAACACGGCGGCGCAGGTCATCGGAGAGCGCGCGTTGACCCGGTTCTTTGGCGACGAGACGCTGTTCTGGAACCAATTCGTGGACGGCGAGCCTCCCGACAGCAGCTACGACGAGCTCTTCCCGCCCAGCAGCTACGGCAGGAGCGTCACACCGCCGCCCCTACCGCCGCCCTCGCCACCGCCCTCGCCACATGCTCCCGCCTCGCCGCCGCAGGAGCGTCGAGTGCGCGCTGGGGCTCGGCGCCATCTACCTCGCCACGCAGGCCGTCTTCCAGGGCGCCACGCAGCTCTCGCAGCTGGCGGGGCCCGTGCAGGCGCTGATCAAGGGCGTCACGGCGTGCCGCACCGTGCTCGAGGTGGTGGCGCGCGTGCCGACGATCGACGCCTTCTCGGAGGAGGGCCTCACGGTCGTGCTCAAGGGCGCCATCGAGGTGAAGGACGTCACCTTCGCCTACCCCACCGCGCCCCGCCACCTCATCTGCATTGGGTACTCGCTGAGTATCCCGGCGGGCACCTCGTGCGCGCTGGTCGGCCCGTCGGGTGCGGGCAAGTCGACGCTCATCCAGCTGCTCGAGCGGTACTATGACCCGCTCTCGGGGTCGGTGCTCATCGACGGCGTCGACCTCAGGGCGATGAACGTCAAGGCGCTGCGCCGGCAGATCGGGCTGGTCGGGCAGGAGCCGATGCTCTTCATGGGCACCATCGCGGAGAACATCGCGCTCGGCAAGGACAAGGCGACCCGCGAGGAGGTGGAGGCCGCGGCGCGCGCGGCGAACGCGCACGACTTCATCGTCAAGAGCCTCGGCGACGGCTACGACACCCAGGTGGGCCTGGGCGGCGGCAAGCTGTCGGGCGGCCAGAAGCAGCGCATCGCCATCGCGCGCGCCGTCATCAAGCAGCCGGCGATCCTGCTGCTCGACGAGGCGATGTCGGCGCTCGACAACGCGAGCGAGCGCATCGTGCAGGCGTCGCTCGACGACATCATGAAGAAGAGCCACTTCACGTCGGTCACGGTGGCGCACCGGCTGACGACGATCAAGCACTGCGACAAGATCGCCGTCGTCCAGAAGGGCGTCATCGTGGAGGAGGGGACGTACGACGACCTGCTCGCCATCGGGGAGGGCGGCGTCTTCCACGGCCTCGCCGCCAAGCAGGAGGCGAACCAGGCCAAGGACGTCGAGGTGATGCGCGTGGCGGCGGAGGCCTCGCAGGTGAAGGACTCCGTCAGCGTACGCCACGCGGAGTTGGTGAAGGGGCTCAAGGCGCTGCACCAGACGAGCTCGATCGGGGCGTCGCTCGGCATCGTCGAGGCGGCGGTCGAGATGGCGGAGGAGGAGGCTGCGGCCGCAGCGGCGGGCCAGAAGAAGCAAGGGCCGGTGCGGCGGCTGCTCCAAATGTCGCCAAAGAGCGACCGCTACCTCTACGTCATCGGCGTGTCGTGCGCCGCGGTCACGGGCATCGTGCAGGGCTTACTCGGCTGGCTCTTCGTCCGCTCGCTCATGGCGCTGAGCTACCCGTCGCCCGACAAGGTCGAGTCGGAGGGCGTGCTGTGGGGCCTCATCTTCATCGGCGTCGGCCTCGGGCAGCACGCCTTCGAGTTCATCTCAAGGAAGACCCTCGGCATCACCGGCGAGCACTTGACGACGGCGCTGCGCACCACGCTGATGGCCAAGCTGCTGCGGATGGAGGTCGGCTACTTCGACTACGAGGCCAACACGATGGGCGCGCTGACCGAGTTCCTGGGCGCGAGGGTGGCCCTCGTGCAGGGGCTCGTCGGCGAGCAATTCGGCGCAATCACAAAGTTCCTCTTCTTGATCGGCACGATGCTCTTCACCATGTTTTACTTGGGCGACTGGCGCGTCGCGCTGGTCACGCTCGGCTGCCTTCCGATCATGGGCGTCACTATGGGCATCGCGATGCAGGCGGCCATGCCGCTGGACCAGGCAAAGCAGGCGAGCAAGGACAACGACAACGAAGTCAAGAAGTCGGCGGGCGCGGTGATTGGCGAGGTGGTGCTCGGGATCCGGACCGTCGCCTCCTTCAACGCCGAGGTCAAGTTCTACGAGGACTACTGCAAGCAGATGGACAAGCTGCTCGCGGTCGGGAAGCGCAAGGCGGTGCAGGCGGGCGTGGGCCTCTTCCTCGCCTTCGCCATCGTCTGGCCGATGGTGGGCGCCCAGATCTTCTACGGGCTGTGGCTCGCGTCGGTCGGGGCGCTCGGTGCGGCCGAGGCCGGCTGCGACAGCTCGTCGATGCTCACCAAGATCTTGGTGCCAATCTTCGCGACGATGATGGTCACCATGCTGGCCTCGGGTCACGCCATGATGGCCACCGACGCAAAGGCCGCGGCCAAGGCCGCCAAGGAGCTCTTCCAACGTTTCGACCAGGTGTCGCTGATCGATCCCACCTCGGCCGAGGGCGCGCGGCTGCCGGCTGTGCGCGGCGAGATCTCGGTCCGCGACGTCGTGTTTGCCTATCCGACGGCTCTCGACCGGCCTGCCTGCCGCGGCTACTCCCTCGAGATTGAGGCGGGGCAGACGGTCGCGCTGTGCGGCCCGAGCGGCTCAGGCAAGAGCACGATCGTCGCGCTGCTGCAGCGCTTCTACGACCCGCAGGCGGGCGCCGTGCTGCTCGACGGCGCAGACATCCGCAGCCTCAACCTGCGGTGGCTCCGCCAGCAGATTGGGATGGTGGGGCAGGAGCCCGTGCTGTTTGAGGGCACGGTGGCCGAGAACATCGGCTACGGCAAGGAGGGCGCCACGCAGAGCGAGATCGAGGAGGCGGCGGTCGCGGCCAACGCGCACACCTTCATCACGAACGACCTCGGCGACGGCTACGCCACCCAAGTGGGGCTGCGCGGCGGGCAGCTCTCCGGGGGGCAGAAGCAGCGCGTCGCCATCGCGCGCGCGCTGGTGCGAAAGCCCGCCATCATGCTGCTCGACGAGGCGACGAGCGCGCTCGACAACGAGAGCGAGCGCATCGTGCAGGCAGCGCTCGACGAGCTCATGGCCAAGCAGAAGCGCACGACCATCACGATCGCGCACCGGCTCTCGACCATCCGCAATGCCGACAAGATCGCCGTGGTGAGGCGCGGCAAGGTCGTCGAGCAGGGGACCCACGACGAGCTGCTGCAGATTGGCCCCGGCGGCGTCTACTTTGACCTCGTCGGGCAGCAGTGATGGAACGGAGGGCGCGGGCTCGGGCCGTGCGGTGCGGCGTGCGGGCGCCACTCTACTGCGCTAGAGCGTTCGCCTCTACGCCGATCGTGCAGAGAGACGTCTCTTTCGCGCGCCATTGTGTTTATTTTACACATGGTGCTTCTGATGAGTTGATTGAAGACGCGCCAAGAAACTTGGAGTGCAGTCAGCAGCCTCACATCCAGGGCCGAAAACGCGTTGTTTTCTTGCGTGGTGTACCTGTGTTAGTGCCAGTGCGCGCCAGTCCCGTGCCTAGTGTCGTGCGAGGGAGTTTCGTTGTAAAATTCTCTTTCGAACCTGTCAGCTAAAGAAAAAAGAAAACAAAGCCAAGGGAGGGATGGGAGGACGGCACGCCGCCACACCACACACGACACAAGGATTTAAGCCTGTCTGCTTTCAGAGATACGTTTCTTTCTTCCTTTTCGCCTTTTGTGGTGCTAGTTCGTGCCAGTCTGCTGTGAGAGGGGCTGGTTTCGTACTTGGAGCACTTGGAGTGCAGTCGGCGCTTGCCGGAATTCTTTTTCTCGCGATCCAAAGTACACCGATGTCCAGCCAGCGGCGCCGCTCGCGCCGCCTCGCCTCCGCCTCCGCCGCCGCTCCCTCGCCGAGCACGCCGCCGCCCGCCCGCCTGCTCGACCTCCCCACCGACCTCCTCGTGCGCGCCGTCTCTCGCTGCGACCCCCTCGACATCGCTCGCGTTGCGGCCGTCTCGCTGCTCTTTCACGCCTCGCTTGCGGTGGAGGGCATCCGCTTGTGGGCGCAAGAGCGCGGCTTCGAGCTGCCGGCGCAGCCAGATGGTGAGGGCTGCGCCGTGCGGTGGCTGTGCTTCGCTGCGCTGCTTTGCGAGTCCAACCCGCCGGCGAGGGCGGCGGCACGCTGGCGGCACAGCGTCTTCATCGACGGCGAGGGGTGGCTCTCGTCGTGCGGCAGTGAGGCAGTCTTCCCAGGGCTGCTCGGGCACGGCGAGGGCGTGACGCGGCTCAACACGCCTACCCGCCTCCCTTCTCCGCTGGGTGACGAGCGCGTCGTGAGCGTGTCGGCTGGAACCGCGCACAGCCTCGCCCGCACCGCCAACGGCGGTGTCTGGAGCTGGGGCTGGGGACCCTCAGGCCAGCTGGGCCACGGCTACAGGCAGGTCCAGTGGCAGCCTAAGAAGATTGAAGCCTTCGCTGGCCAGCACGTCGTCGCTGTGTCGGCGGGAGGCGAGCACAGCCTCGCCCTCACCGCCGGCTGCGCCGTCTGGAGCTGGGGCAATGGACTCTTTGGCCGGTTGGGCCACGGCGACGGGCAGGCCCAGTCGCAGCGGCCCAAGGAGATCGTGGCGTTCGCAGGGCGCCGCGTTGTCGCTGTGTCTGCTGGAGCCGTGCACAGTCTCGCTCTCACCGCCGACGGCGCCGTCTGGAGCTGGGGCTCGGGAAGCCAAGGCCGGTTGGGCCACGGCGACCAGCAGAACCAGTGGCAGCCGAAGAGGGTCGAGGCCTTGGCTGGCCAGCGCGTCGTCGCTGTGTCGGCTGGACAGAGCCACAGCCTCGCCATCACCGCCGACGGCGCTGTCTGGAGCTGGGGCAATGGAGGTGCTGGCCAGCTGGGCCACGGCGACCTGCAGCGCCAGCTGCTGCCGAAGAAGATCGAGGCGCTGGCTGGCCAGCGCGTCGCCACTGTTATGGCCGGATTGAGCCATAGCCTCGCCCTCACCGCCGACGGCGCCGTCTGGAGCTGGGGCGATGGAGGGGAGGGCAAGCTGGGCCACGGCGACCAGCAAGAGCAGTTGTTGCCCAAGAAGGTCGAGGCCTTCGCTGACCAGCGCGTCATCGCCGTGTCGGCTGGAGCATCCCACAGCATCGCCATCACTGCCAACGGCGTTGTCTTTACCTGGGGCGAGGGCGGCCACGGCTGCCTAGGCCACGGAGAGGACCTGTCCAACCAGCTGCTGCCCAAGAAGGTCGAGGCGTGGGCGCCGGGGCAGTGAGTACACCTCAGGCGTACGGCGGCGCGATTCTGATGGCCCTCACCTCGACCCCCATGCCAAAGCTCATGGTGACGCCCGGAGGGCCGAGAGACTGGACGTTCCTATTCCCCGCGGAGGGCGACACACTCAAGGCGTCGCAAGGCGGGTTTGCTGACTTCCAGAGCAAGCACAACAAGGCCCGTCCGCATGAAGCCGTGTTCACTGTGAACGCTACCTCGAGACCTCAGTGTCGAGACCCCGTGCGGGCAGCATATATTAGTCGTGGTCGCGTATTTAATGTGTTTTAGGTTAGGTTAGGTAGAAAGGTGAAGAACAGTCAGGCTCGGACTGGACACACCAACGCGGTGGACGCGAGACAGAAGGACGACGACACGCTGCGAGCGACACACAGAGCTGACAGGACACACAAACTCACGAGACACTCAGCCAGCTGAGAGATGGGCTCAGGTAGGAGGCTCCACGCCACCATCCATGGAATAGGGCTCAGGTAGGAGACGCGGGGGCTCGGACCGCCTTGCTGCCTCGGCGCTGCCTTGGCCTCAGACCTATTCGGTCCCCGCCTCTCCCGACGACGCCTCTCCTGACGATGCCTCTCCCGGAGCCATGCAAAACGTTTCGAAAGGGTACGTCGGGTTCCATTCAAAGATGTTCAAGTCGTCATCTTTGCCAAAGGTCACGCCTCAGCCAGCGCAGGCCTCCCCGAATTACACGTGCGATCGCCGCGCGCACACGACAGTCGACACGCGACGGACATAGGAGACCGCTCACGACCACGTGAGGGCGTGGCATCCGACTATATAGTGCACAGCGCCTTTGCGACCGAGTTCGCCTTCTCGCGCTTTAACGCGGCGAAGGGCGGCCCCGCGTCGGCATTGGGCGCAAAACTAACCGATGTGGTCGAGGCGTCGTCCATCGACCGCGTCGCCGACGCTGCCACCGAAGCGGACCGCCGCCGACTCTCCGAGGCGCCCTGCCCGCCTCCATCCGGCCCGCCCCCGGCACCAGCGCAAGCCTGTTGTGATCCCTGGCCGGCTGGGACTCGAAGTGAAGCCCTCTCGGCGCGCACATCCGATGTGGGTGCTGGATTTCTCGAGATTGGCAACACGTACATTGGAGGTTGCGGTACATGGGGAGCAGGCGCGAGTCAGAAAAGGCTGACTGTTTGCGAAGCAGCTGCGCACTGCAAGACCCTGGACGGGTGCTTTGGCTTCGACTACTACCCAAATCTGAACGATGGCCAGGGCGAGGCGTACTACTGCAAAAATGTTCAGAACACATTTCAAGGCGGCCGCAGCGGCCAACTGCAATCGTCTCACTACTACAAGCTCGCCGGCAAGGTCGACTGCGCATAGACCATCGACAGATACAGCCGGGTTCCGATTCGTTTCCTCTTTCTACATACATAGATAGATTATAATAGACTGTCGACCTAAGTAAGTACTGACTCGGGTTCTTGACGCATGGGTCTCACTCCCGCGAAAGCCGAAACCCTCGAGCGGAACGGCTCCGCCGGGGCAGTCGGAAAAGGGGCGCTTCCCCGCGCACTGACGGTCGGCCGTCAGAAAACACGCCTGCGTGGACCGCGTCACACACCCATCCTCGCTACCCAACGCGGCGAAATGTCCGGGAAAACCGCGGATCACATAGGTGACCCGCCCACTCGAGTGTGGCGCCCGGATGCTAGTGCTTGAGAAGACACCAACAACGCGGCACGGCCCGTTTTGGCTGTCCGCGGAGATACCTTGAGCACTTGAGCACCGGATAGGGTCGATTTCGCATGGTACGGGACCCCTCCGATCGTCTCGCCCTCCCTCACTGGTGTGTTCATTGGGGGGGGTCATAACAAACACGGTACAGGATCGAGGTGCACGCTGCCGAAGCAGTGTCGTCCCCCCTCTCCCCGACGGCGATGGCGGTGTGACCGATCGAGCTACAAAAGGAGCTTGTTCGGCATGATCGGGGTGAGCCGAGCAGTTCCTCACTTCCTCAATGGGTGAGCTTCAGATCTCAGGCAAACCTTCCCCCTCACCTTCGGCTCACGTGGATTCGAACCACCGCCGGGAGATGGAAGCTTCCTGCTTCCATCTTGAGAGACAGCGCCGCCTTTCACCTGTATCAGAGCATCGGGGGTCGTGTGGTGCTGTGTGTGCTTCCGTTGTGTGGAGGAGGAGGCAGAAAGGGAGAAAGGGGGGGGGGGTTCTTGGCCGGGCGGTAGAATTTTCATAGCAACTTGTGGACGTACGACACGTGTGCATTGCCAGACTCACTCAGCCCTCCCTTCCCTTCAGCCTTTTGAATCGCCGCCCCCCTTTGCTGTGCACACCCCGCTTCTTCCCCCCCGCGGAGGCACCGCCGGCCGCCCCCCCCCGATCCCCCATCTCCCCAGACACGCCCCCCTCCTCCCCACCCTCCACCCCCACCGCCTCCTCCTCAGTCGGATCCCTCCCCCTCTTCCTCCCCCGCTCCCCAGATACCTTAGTTGTAGACTGCTGACTGGCGCATCGGTCCAGTGCTTATACCCATTGTCATTTTACCTAAAAATTCCTAGATAGATCCCGGCTGACCTGGGGTGCCGGCCGAAGCTAAGAAACCACGGCGTGGGGTGGGTGGGGACTGGGGTGGGTGGAAAGGCTTAGAAACGGCCCGGCGTGCCGCGGGATCCTGTTTTCTTAATGCCCGCAACAGACTGTAGAGTACGTGTACGTGTGCGGTGTGTGGTTTTGGGCCGCCGCTTTTATTCTCTTGAGACCTCGAGAGTGTGGCCACCGCAGGTCGAGGGCCCAAGAGTTGGGCCGGGCAATCGGCGCCGTCTCGGCGAGGTGCAGGACCTGACCTAGAGGGCCGGCGTGCTCTTGATCTCCAGCACCGCGGGCGCTCGCGGCCGCGAGGCGCGAGCGCGGTAGCGCAGGGCGTAGAGGACGCCGCTCGCGATGCAGCAGACGGCGGCGCAGCAAATGGCCACCACGAGGCCCACCGTGAGCGGGAGGGAGGTGGAGCAGCCCGGCTCTGCGTCCGCTGCTGGCGGCTCGTACGAGCGGAGGCACGCCGCCGCGCCTGCGCACAGTCAAGGTAAGGGCGAGGTGAGGTGATGTAAGGGAACCTTCTCCACACACAAAAAGAGGTGGTGGCATGGGGCGGCGCAAGGGCCGCGGCGAGGTGAAGGCGCGGGGCTGGTGAGGGAAGAGGCAGCGTGGCTGGCCACCGCCTGCGAATCGCTCGGCGTTGGCCTGGACGCGCGCTCTGAGCTCGGGGAGGGGGAGCGACAGCAGCGGCGCCGTCGATTGCAGCGGGCGGCCGAGGGACGGCTGCGTGTCGCGGAGAAGGTCATCGGACGACGGGGCGAAGCTGGGGTACACCAGGCTCACCTCGACCTCGCTCTTGCCGGCGGGGCGCGAGAAGCGGAGCGCCGAGCCGGGGGGCGTCGGCATGTACTCGCCCCGAGGCCCGCTCGCGTAGGGCGGCGCAAGCCAGGCGTCAATGCCGAGCAGCCCGGCGAGTCCGTTCAAGTTGCCGTCGTGGCCGAGATAGGCAACGAGCCGTGCCCTCCCGCCCTCCTCGCCCAGCCGGCGGAGCAGGTCCGCGGCGAGCCACGCATTGTCGGTCGCTTTGTTCGAGTTGAAGTCCTTGACCGCGCGCGCGTAGTGCTGCCACTGCAGCGCCGCGTACATCTCGCGGACAGTCGGCCCTGCACCGAGGAGCGGGTAGCGGACGCGTGAGGCCCACGCGTAGAAGAGCTGCTGCCCAAGCCGCTTGTAGGCATTCACGCCGCCCGCCAGGTGCCATTCCGAGGAGTAATACTTGTCTCCCTCGGAAGCCGCGATGCCGTCGGCCATCACGGCCGGGGCAGGAAGGCCTGCGAGCGAGCCGGCGGCACCGACGCCCAAAGAGCGCTCGAGCGCGTCAATGCTCTCTGCAGGTGGCTGCGGGATCGAGGCGAGCCGTGCGCCGGCCTCGGCCGCCACCTCTGCCGTCGCGGGCATGGAGCAGCGCGGCGCTCCCCACTCTGGGTCGAGTGTGGAGAAGAGCTCGGGACGGTACGAGGCTTGCGAGGAGACGAGGCCCTCTGAAGAGAGGCCACGAGCGAGAGCGAGCGACGAGTCCACATCGCGCATCGAGGCGTCGGCGACGAGGCTAACAATAGCGTCGGGATCCACGAGCCTAGCGAGCCAGCGGCCAGTGTCCTCGATGGCCGACATTCCGCCCTCAGTGCACCAGTAGGATGGCACGCCCCACTCGGGGAGCGGCACCGACGAAAAGTTCCGCGCGTCGTCGAGCTCCGGTCGGGACGGGTCGGCATTGTGGATGCGTGGCGGTGTCGAGCGGAGGCAGTGGCGGAAGACGAAGAGCTCGGTTGCCATTTTTTCACCGCACCCCAGCTGATATAGGCCGTCGGCCCGCTTCAAGCGCGGATTTTTTCTTTTTTATTCTTTCCCTCCAACCAGCTCCAACTCCGTCGGCTGCAGCCGGCCTGCTCCTCACATTTTGGCCTGCTCGTAGGGCACCACAACCGTCTCTCATGGCTGCTGTCACCTGCACATCTACTCCTCCTCCTGCCGAGTACGACGACGCTTGCACTGAACCACGCGTGATAATCAGCGAGGTTGCGGCCAGCGGTGCAGATGGAGAGCCGTGTCATGACGACTGGGTCGAGCTATTCAATCCGCACCCGACCCGTTCTGCGCCTCTGCTTGGCCTCGTGCTGTCTGACGATCACGGCTTCGACCGCAGCGACCGGCTCGCCCTCGGCGCTTCTGGGTGCCCAACTTCGCTCGCAAACAGATCGTACCTCCTCCTGTGCAGGGCGGACTCGCCCTGCGGCTTCGCCTTTGGTATTGGTCGGCACGACGTAGTCCTCCTCTTCAACGCCAGCGGCAGCCCGCTCGACGAGACGGCGGGGTGCTGCGCGAACAGCGCGCAGCGCAGCTTCGGCCGCAGCCCTGGCGGCGCATGGACTGAGCTCGACGTCCGCACCCCGGGCGCTCCAAACACCGGCGTGGCGCACGCACCCCCACCAGCACCGCCGACGGCGCCACTGGCGGGCTCCGCGCTCGGTCTCGGCGACCTGCGGCATGTTGCGACGCTCGTCGTGCCTCCCCCGCGGCCGGGCGCCGCGGCCGTCGTCGACCTGTCCGGAGTTGCAGTGGCGGCGTGGGAGGACCTCTCGTCGGGCGGCTGGCGGGCCACCTTGCAGACGGTCGTGAACAGCGAGCCGGCGGTAATCGAAGTTGAGGTCGAGGCGACCTCCGCGGCCTCGCCTCCCGTGCTGCGGCGGCGCCGAACCTTCCTCCTCGAAGGCTTCGAGGACACCGAGGGCATCGCCCTCCTCCCTTCCGGTCAAGTTGCGATCGCGCAGGAGCGGCGGATGGCGGTGAGCGTCCTCCTACTCCCGCCCGCCAGCAGCTCCGAGGGAGACACGGCGAGCCACCTCGAGACCCGGCTGGGACTGGGCGCGGCCAACACTTTCGACACAAGGCTGCCCGCCGAGAGGAACAAGGGGCTTGAGGGCGTCGCGTACGACCCCGAGCAGGGCCTGCTCTACGCCGTGCAGGAGAGCGATCAGTAGTATCATCCACTTACCCGCCGCACCGTCGCACACCCGTCGCAGCCCGAGGAAATCTCCGGCTGCGAGACCTCAGTCGCCCCACCCGAGATCCGCAGGAGAAGTCGCCCATCCGCGTCGTCGCGCTCAACCTCACCACCGGAGCGGTCGCCGACCTCTTCGACGCACCGTCTGTGCTCGGCAGGCACGTGAGCGACCTGGCGGGCGCGTGGTTCGCGCCGCGGCAGCGCGTCCTCCTCCTTCTCTCCCAAGAGTCTCGCCTCCTCGTCGAGGTCACCCTCGACGGCCAGGCGCCGGGCCTGCCGTCCTTGGCCCGCCGGGTCCTGCTGAGAGGTATTGGATCCTGCGCGCGCCACCCAACGAGCGTGCCTTGCCCGCGCGCCTGCCCCCAGGTGCGCGCCGTCCAGCGCATCAGCGGCACGCAGCCGGAGGGCGTCGCGCTCTCGCCCGACCTGTCGACCCTCTTCCTCGCGTCAGAGCCAAACGAGCTGCTCGTGTACCGCCGGCCTCCCTCGCCGCTCTCGCCGCCGCCGCCGTCGCTCATAGTAGAAGGAGGCGTCATCGCCGCCGTGGGGGTGCTGGGGCTCTTTGCCTTGCTCTGCATCGCATGCCTCGCTTGCAAGCTTCGCCACCACCCGAGGCCTGTTCGGCAGCTCCAGGCGAAGGAGCTGTTGGAGATGCACGAGGTGGCTTCCGCCGGAGCTCTTACACCCTCACCGGACAGGAGCCCGAAGAGTGACAGATCGGTCACGTAAGGGAAGAGATGACCCCCATGAAGTACAGCGATCGCCGTCTCGCTGGCCTCTCCGCAGGCCCCCCCGACCGCGTCGAACTCATCGGCGCGGGCTCTCTCGGCTACGGGACCGGCCCCAGCTTCGGCTGAGGGCTAACAAGCTGCCGAGCCCAAATCACTGTGTGGCAGTCGTGATTTCTTGGTGGTCTTCAAAAATCTCTCTCTCGTAAGGGGAGCAAAAAGGGGGAGCAAAAAGTCACAGCCCATAAATCTCGTCTGATCTCCGCCGTCGGCTGCGGACTGTTCCTGTTCCGCATGTGCGCGCGCTTGCCGTCCTTACACCCCGCCCTCGCCAACCCGTCCCACGCCTCCGGTGTTTTGGGTGCGCAGGTACAGCGCGGAGAAGAAGGGCACGCCAATCTTCAAGGCTGTCGGCGCATCGGGCCAGACCGCCGGCGTCGAGGCGCGCTCTAGCTACGCGTAAGGGGCGCCCGCGAGCCGCTTCCAAGATGCGGAAGATGCGAGCCGCGAGCCGCGATTCGCATGGGGCGGACAGGCGCCACTACTGTGGTGGAGGGGAGAAGTTGAAGGGGCCCGGGGGGGGGAGGCGCAGCAGGCACAGGGGGGGGTAGGTGGCACCCATACGTGGCTCGCGCAGAGCTCGGCGTGTGTGCCAGCGGGGATTGTGCTTGAGCATGTGTGAAGTGTGAGTGCGTGCCTGCGGTGTCTGTGGGTGAAACAGGCGTGTGTGAGGCCGTAAGAGCCCTGGTATGAGCCACAGTGGGCTTCATCACCCAAGATAAGGACGGTTTGGGACAGCTCAGGCTTGATACTGAGATGGGCCTGGGCCAGGAGAGCGGCAGGAGATGCGATGTGGTGAGCTGGGAAGCCGCTTTGTTGGCACCTGGACGTGTCCGCGATGAAGTGCCAAGAAGGTAGCGCCTTTTGCGGCTATTGCTCAAAACCTTGGGAGAGAAGGCCTACATGTTATGACTGCATCCATGCGTCTGGTGCATTTCACGGCTGTGGGTCGGTACATTTCACGGTCGGTGGCGCCGATAAATCTCTAAGCAGGGAGGAGGCGACCGACCAGGCACTTGCTTCGCGACTTCGCGACAAGGTCACACGCGGACGCTCCAGCCTCTCAGCTCACCACCTCGCCTTCCCTGTCGCTCTCACAGTCAAGCAGCGCTATTGCGTATTTGGTAAGCACGAGCCTGCACACCACCTTTTGACGTTGAATTGTTGAAAAGTTAGAAAAGAGCACAGTCGCCTTCAGTACGGCCTCGTGCCGAGCCGCGCCGCGCGCGAGCCTCGCCCTCGGCGCCAGATTCTAGAGAGCGCACGAAATCAGACACCCGGCGACCGCGGTGCGCAATCGCCAATCCATCCGCAAACACACACACACACACACACACACACACACACACAACGTGGCATTTGACGGAAGGTTTCTTTCTCTCGCCGGGGCAGTTCCTGCCAGCTAATGTCCAAGTGGTATCGCGCACATGCTGTGGCAGACGACGGCTTCAGACTGGCGCGGCGTTCGTTCAGCCAACGGCCGCGCGGTGCTCCTCCACAAACGAGGGCTCCCTCTTGAACCGCCGGGCCGCCTCAAATCCATGACCCATCTCGCTCCGCCACTCGGCGCGGTGCATCGCCTCCTCGATCGCCTCCGCCAGCGCGTGCGCTAGGGTGCTCGTCTGCACCCCAAAGCGTGCCGTGAGACGACAGCCACCCGCCGCAAGTCCCTGCCACGAGACAACCGCCTATTCGCGGCCAGAGCTGAGCAGGAAAGGATGCGATAGTCGCGGCCCGCATCGAGACCGCCGCCTCCGCTGCCGCCTTGAGCGCGAAACTCGCGTCAGGCATCTCTGCACCGCGTGCCCCGGCGCCTAGGCGATAGGGAGAAGGGCACACATATGCCGCCCCCTCGAAGATGGGGAAGCGCGTGTTGGGCCCGCGGGAGCGCGACGCTGCAAAATGCGCACCCAAGAGTGGCACAGCGACGGACACCAAGCCGTGGCGCTGAGCCGCGTCAAAGGCGGAGCGGTACGTCGCTGTCGCGAGTTCGGCCCAAGCGTCCCCCTCAAGCTCTCCAGGGCGGTACCTAGGTAGAAGGGCACGACCTGTTCACAGGCAAGAGGGTGCCAAAGAACGACCCTAGGAGCACACGGTGGCAGAAGGCGCGCCGCGTGCACGATTGTGCCGTACATCTCGCGCAGCTCCCCGTGGCTGCTCGCAGCGGTGGCGGGAAGGGGCGTGAGGAGGTGGCGTCAGGATTGGAGGTTCGAGGAGGAGCGAGGAGGGGATCTGGCGGTGGCGACGCGGCCGGCGGTGGGGCACGATGCGTGGACGGTGAGCAAACGGGCGGCGGTGTCTAACAGCGTACTTACTACATACGTGAAACAGCGCCCGCGATCGAGTTTGTTTTTTGCGATCGACGCGCACGGACGGGCGGGGGAGAAGCGGAGAGGCTACCTACCTTACCTTACCTTACTTACCCTTACCTTACCCGCCCGTCTTTAGGCCACATCAAACCTAAATGCTAAAATGTCCACAAGCAAGGGGCCACTTGTAGTGAGCGTCGAGCTGGTGGGGTAAGTAACGCACACCGCCTGCCATCTAGGCATGTCGCGCATCAGCGTCCGTGAGCAAGCCGACGGCAAGCTGATCGGATGGCAACCGTCGACGGATCCGGCTCACCGCGGCCTGCAGAAGCCTCCACCACGGCGCGTCGCCTCGCTCAACACCGACGGCTCATGGCAGCTCCCGAGCGTTCCCGCACCAGAGTTTCTCTCCAGAGTGCTCACCGTGCCGCTGGAGAACCCTTCCATCGAGGGAATCACGACGCTGGCCAACAACTTTACCCACCTCGCGACTCTGTCCGCCAACTTTTTGTCGTTTGCTGTCTCTGGAGCCTTTTGCGACCGCGCCGCGGTGGGAACGGCGCTCGAGATCACGCTCGAAGTCGCAGCAGTGAAGAACTGCTGCAATCTGGGCGTATTCGCGGTTCAGACAGCACAGCGCCTCGGCTTCTCTCTCTCGGACATCAAGTCCAAGGAGGTGGTGCTGGACTCGGCTCCCGCCAAACCCGACATGCCGCTCGCGCGCCAGTTCATCGGCGTCTCCGACATGCCGGCCGCTGTGTCGGAGCTATTCAATTCGCACTGCCTCGTTCACGTGGGCATCCTCTCCGGCGGCCGCGTCTGGAACACCTTGAATTCACACCTGGCAGAATATGCCGCGATCCGCGGCTTCGATCAGACGCGCGACCTGCAACACGCCTCGCTCACGCACATGCTGGCACGCATGCTGTGGCGCCTGCTGGACCGCGAGGATGACCGCAGGCCGGTGTACCAGGCCCTGTCTCGGGTATTGAGCTCGAAGATGTCGCCCATCGACGCGGCATGCGTCGGCGCCCAGGCAGGGGCCGACGAGATGCTGACGATCACGGCGAACAAAGGCAGCCACTATGTGCAGGGCCTGTCGAGTATGGGCGTCCCTCTCGAGCAGGCGCCGAACGAGTCGGAGGTGACCATACCCCACCGAGCGTTCAGCCGGGTTGTTCGCCTCAAGCATGCCGAGCGCGACGTCCTCATTATCGTCACCACCCTGGAGCCTTTCTTTGGAGATGGCGGCTTCCAGATCCAGCCGTCGGTGTCAGACGAGGAGGCGCTGCTGGCCATGCTCGACAGCGATGCGGCTGCCGAGGCCCTCTCGGGCGGGGACGAGACCTTCGTCTCGGAGGTGCTCGCCGCTATGGAGAGCATGGAGGTCGGCGACATTCGCCTCGGAGACTCTTGCGACTTGTGACAATGCGTCGGTGATGTCATTCTGCTCCTCCCCCCTTGTCTTGTGTTCAGTCGGTCAGTGTCCGTGTTGTGGATTCGAGTCGAGGTGCATAGAGAGAGGAGCGTGTTGCCGTCTATTTGTGTGTTCGTGCTTGCTCCTGCTATAGATAGATGGAGGTGAAGAACAGTTGTGTGAGCTCAAGAGCAGTGATCCGAAATCAGTGTACGAAGGTCGTGTAGCTCGTACACGTCTCACGCTGTACCGTGTACGTCAGCACCCTGAAGGGCGCGACCGACTCTGGACACCAGGCGGAACATGGTGGGACGCTAGCGCTTGCTTCCATTCTGCGGAACGTCTTTGTGCGACCGCCTTCTGTTGTGAAGTTTTTTCGTGTGAATTTGTTGCTGATGCTTTCGTTTTGTGGGGCTCCTCTGTCGTCTAGCGTGTGGCGACGCGAGGGGGTCGCCCCCCCTTGCCCGGGGCCCCTGCCACCAGCACCACCTCGTGTGTGTGGAGAAGTGTTTACCTTACCTTACTCTACCTATACCTTACACGCTACCCACTCAACGTACGGCTTCGACGGCTCTCCTGAGGGGTGGCCCGTCTACCGTCTACCGGTAGACGGGGGTAGACGGGGGTACACAGTAGACCATTTGGTAGACGAGTCTACCGACGGCCCTGGAATAGCAGCCATCGCGCGCACATGCAAGACTGTCTCATCGCCGCCAGGCTCGCAGGTGTGTCGCAGGTCAGGTATATGAGTGCCCTGGCTACGGGACGGCGACCTTCGAGCTGAAGCACGAGAAGGCCGCGGGCGACCGCGAGCCGGTGCAGGCGGCGGAGCGCTCGTTCGTCGAGCGCACCGCGTCGCGGAAGGAGGAGCCGACGGAGGAGCAGAAGGATGCTCGGGACGCAGCTCGCAGGGCCAAAAAGGCCCGGCAGAAGGCGAACAAGGCGGAGAAGAAGGCTGCGGCGGCGGCTGCGAGCGAGGCCGAGCGTGCGGACTACCCGCACGCGCAGCTACGCGAGAACGTCGAGTTCGTGATGGAGGGCCTGGAGGCTGCGACGCAGGCGGCGCGCAACCCCACCGGGTCCAACATTCAGGTCGCCTACTCGCTGCCTCCCGAGGGGGGCAGCGGGTTCGGCGACCTGGTGTACGCCACGGTCCCTCTGGGCTCCGTGGCGACGAGTCGCCCGGGACTGGCTCGCCAACGAGCTCTACGAGCCGTCCCGGCGCGGCAAAATCGATGCGGCCTGCAGGGACCGAAAGGTCGCCGACCTGATCACGGCTGCCGGCGCCTCGGCGCCGGCCGACGCCGTGTTCGGCGGCGGGTTCGCGACGGGCGAGACGCCCCGCCCGACGACCTCCGCCTCCAAGGCGGACGAGGGAGACGGCGTCGGCGGCGATGGCGGGACCGGCATCGAGCACTTTGACCTTTTCGAGCCGGACCCCACCCCCATGGAGGATCTCTGAGGTCCTCCCCAGTCTCACCCACCTTACCTCTGCCCCCCCCTCCCCCCATCCCTCTGCCTCCCATAGGGCAGGATAGCAATAGCATATGCGCCTAGTGCGCACTGGGCCCACATAGATGTGACCCGCCCACTCGAAGTGCGGCGCCCGGATGCTAGTGCTTGAGAAGACACCACAAACGCGGCACGGCCCGTTTTGCTTTTGTCTGTCTGCGGAGATTCTGTCTTAGCACACACAGTGAGTCATTCGGAGTCATTCGATGGCCAGAGTACGATTGTGTGTGTGCGGGAGTTGGTTTGTCGGGAGGGAGGGGCAGGCTGCTTACCCACGTGCACCAAGCTGTGAACAACAGTTCCTTCAGCACCCCGAAATGATCGCCCTTCGGGCACCTTCCCACGCGCCTACGGGCACCCCAACACTCCCACACGCCGAGCCACGCGCTGCCGGCGCCCTGCATGACCCTCTCCACGCACACCGCGTGAAAACTGCACGTACGTCCCCGCGCGCACGCAAACACGCGCAGCGCCATTTCAGAGCTGTGCCATGTGCGTCTGCTCTGTGCTGGCACCCCATGGCCGTCCCGCGCCGCCCGCACCAGCCACGCGCCCCTCGCACCACCAGAGGCAGCCGCATATCCACTCACGCCGCGACGCGCGCGCCGCAGCACACCTCACCAGCACTACCTCGCCTTTTTGCGCCCTGTGCAGGCTCTGCACACTGCTTCTGGCATCTCACAAGCGGCTGTACCAGGACGCGCCGCGCGACGCAGATTCAGCACCACGCAAGGCACGCACGCACGCCCGCACCCGCGCGCGCGCGCACGCGCGCTCATCTGCTCAGTCTGCTGCACAGCCTGACAGCCTGCACACACATCATACAGCACCATGTGCACGCACTGCGCTCAACGATGCAGCCTGCACCCCGCAACAACAGCCTGCCCTCCGCCTCACCACGACGTCTCGCGCACACTCCGCCAGCAGCCCAGTCAGAGACACTGCAGCGCGCGCCTCTGCACGCCTGCAGTCTCTCTGAGACCTTCTCAATCCACCCCGCCGCCGCGCCTCCCCGGGCACACACCGCAGCAGTGAACATGTGAGTCGAAGAATTGGGCAACGACCGAGCCCGCGCCTGCTGCACGCAGCCCCGTATTCGACTGTTGGTAAGTGCACGCTGTTGCGCCTCTGTGTGTGTGCTCGCTTACTGCCAAAAAAGAAAAACATCATGGGGAGACAAACATTCCCCGTTTTTGGATTTTGCGAAAGAAAACTGACAGGAAAGAATTCTTACATTACAAGCCTCTCTCACAGCACAGGAAAGAAAAAACACCGCGGGGATTCAGAAAATAAAAGAAAAACAGCCTAACCCCAGTAGGGAGAACGCCGAGTGCCAGACCACCAGGGGGCAAGTGTGTGTAGCACCTTCGACCCCGAAATGAAGGTCGCCACGCAAAACCGGGCGCTAGGAGAGGTGAACTGAAGGCTGAGACAACGGAGGCCGAGCCTGAGTGGGCGCCCGCGCGCCCCCACACAGGCAAGCCTCTGTCCTTCGGCCCACTCCGGCGATCGTCCGTGGGCGACCGCGGACAACATGGGGCCTAATCAATTCCCTCAACACCCGACCCCCCTCTAGGGACAGCAGCGCGCTTCTCATCCCGGAGAGGGAAGGAGGGGGGGGGGGGGGGGAGATCAGAGAGCCAGAGCAGGGAGTACCCCCGACGGACGCGAGTCGGGGGGAAAGCGAGACGAGAGATTCAAGGCGAACTTCATCACCCGTCCAGGAGCCCCGCATTAGGTAGCGACCCCAGGTTCAGAGCTAGGCTTCCCGACAGGGCAGGGAACCCCCAGCGCGCAGGCGGGGCCCACGGTAGCCTCGTGCAGTACGCGATACCGAGAGCTGGGGGAGAGGCGCGCCACGCCAAGGGGGACAAGTGACGGGGGGGGGAGAGTAGTGTCTTTCGCAGGGTAAAACGCATTTTTGTTTTTACCCACGTGCACCGGGCCAGTGCTTGCACTTTGAATGCCGTGGGGCTCCTGCCCGTGAGCCGTGTCCGGGTGTGTGGAGACGCGAGGGTTGCCCCCCCTTGCCCCACCACTTTGTGTGTGTGGAGAAAGCTACCTTCCTTACCTTACCTCTCACCTCTCTGCATGCTGCAACCTGCACTAACCATCCTGTACGTATCATGATGTACACTTCGCCGTTTGATACGTGTGGGGGCGCGCCTCACACCATCGCGGTCGAGAGCCTCGACCCCGCCAGCGACGCGCGCTCCGACGGGGCGTCGAAGGACGCGGCCTTCGAGCGCTCTGGCAGCGACGCATGCGCTCGCTCGCCAGCAGCTTCGTCCGCGCCCACTGCGCGCGCCGACGCCGCAGAGCCCATCTGGGGCGTCATCTCTTGCTCGTGCAAGAGGCGGTGGTGAGCGACCATCACGAAGCCGCCCGCGCAGTAGCTGACGCCTATTTGACGGTGCCGAGACGCTTCGTGGTGCGTGCCGATACCGCGGCTCCGCCCGCGCAGGAGCGGCCGCCGACGGCGAGCGCCATCAGTGCCATGCCGGGCTCGAAGCCAGCGCTGAGCGAGAGCGTGGTGTGCGTGTGCGAGACGGTGGTCTCGGGGTAGAAGTCTGCAAAGTAGTGCGCCACCATCCAGTCGAGAGGGCCGACCACGTGCGCGAGCTTCGCCTAGGAGGTGTCTAGGAAGTGTCTGCCGGAAGAGAGTTGGAGGCGGCCCCCGTGCGCGAGCTTCGCCTCGACGACCGGCCCGATCTCGAACATGGACATCACGATGACAACCACGACGAGCTCGAAGGCGCTGTAGCAGTACGCGGTCTGCGCGACGAAGGCGAAGGCGTGCGACGTGTGCCGCTCCATCGGGACCCGCCTGCACGGGGGAGACTCGGCGAGGCTGAGCCGAGAGGGGTTCGGCCGAGAGGCGCCTGCCCGTCCCTCGGAGCACGCGCCAAATCCAGAGGCAGAGGGCGAGCCAGAGCAGCGGCATCGCGCCGCACATCAGCGCGAAGAGGCACATGTGGCTGGTGCCGACCGCCTCGCCGATCGCAATGGTCATCGAGTAGAGGGAGTACGCGTTCCGCCTCGTTCCGCCCGGCTGAGCCTCGAGGATCTCGGCCACCTGCTCACAGAGACGCAGGTGTGAAGAGACGCTGTTCCCCTCCCCGGTGGCGGGGCCTCGAGGACGGCGGCCACCGCTCCCTCGAAGGTGAGCTGGAAGGACTCGGACACATACGCGGCCAGAGTCAGCCCGATCGCGAGCACCTGCTCACACCTCGACCCCTCTCACACCCCTCTCCTCTTCTTCTTCGGCTCCTCACCCGCCAAACAGCGAGCACCAGCGACCAGGTGACCAGCGCCGCCGAACGGGACTGCAGCTCGAGCCGCCGAACGCCAGAGCCGCCGGGCGGCGCCGGCGCACCCGCCTTCGCGAGCAGGTCGTTCAGGCGCGCGCTCGCCTGGCGCGCCGCCGGCTCGAGGGAGTGCGCCGAGAGCGAGCGGCGGCGCGGGGGCGGCGTGGAGAGGGCTGGCGACATCGACCGTGCTTCCGCACCCTGATACGCGGGGTGGCGAGAGGGGCTCGAGAGGGCCGGAGAGGGCCCGGGAGGAGCCGAGAGGAGCCGAGAGGAGCCAGGAGGGCCCGGGAGGAGCCGAGAGGAGCCGAGAGGAGCCGAGAGGAGCCGAGAGGAGCCGAGAGGAGCCGAGAGGAGCCGAGAGGAGCAGAGAGGAGCCGAGAGGAGC